CTCCCCATCTCTCCCCCATCTCTCCCCATCTCTCTCCATCTCCCTCCCTCTCATGTGTCTACCTCCAATGTCCCAGTCAGGTAGCTTTGAGCTGGTGGCTGGCTGCCTCTGACACCACCGACCTTTCCTCCTTACACAAGTCTGCACTTGGTTTCCGGAACATACTCGTTGCTCTTTCTGCCTCACCTCTAACCACTGTACTTTGTTAGGCTTGTCCCTTCACTGACAGCACCCCCAGCCTCACTCTGCAAGCCTTGGGCCTCAGCTGTATTTGCTGTCTGTGCACACCAGCGCCAACACCACTACCCACAGCCTCGTGGAGCATGCACCGAATGGCTGGCAATCATCGGCAGTTTAATGTGTTCCAAGCTGAGCCCCTCCCCCTCCACCATACTGGCCTGCCACCGCCCCAGCCCACTTTATGGCAGCTCCATCCTTCCAGGTGCTCGGGAGAGTAGAGGTGGTGGTCCTCCTGCTTGCCCGCAGTGGTGAGCCCTAGGCTCTCCTCCCAGGCGTGTCTCCCGTGGGGCCCCGGCTTGCCTCCCTTGCTTCCCTCGCCGGACTTTGGTTTCCTTCCTCGCAGGGGTCCTGCCCTTTGCCTTACCTTGATTCTCTATTCAGAAGCAAAGAGGTCAGATGTGTCCCAACTTCACTCAGAGCAAACGTCTATGTCCTAAAAAGCTTCTCCAAGGGTGGTTCCCCACGCACGGCACCCCTGACCCCTCCCCAGGTCCTCAGGCTTGCTCAGCCACCCACACACCCTTCCCCGCCTTTCCCTGCATTCACCTCCTCCCTCCCCACGGGGCTTGCCCCCTGGGCTTTGAGCTGCCTCCGCAATCCCCCAGGTTAGCCCAAGTCCTTGCTGCCAGGACTGTCCCAGGGATGGTAAGATGCATACTTCCTCAGAACCTACTGTCCTGGCTGCTCGTTCACCTAAAAACTGCAGCCGTTGCCTCGATAGTTCCTACGTACCTTTCCTATTATTTCATTTTTTTTTTTAAATATGTGCCCCTCGTTACAGCACTGTGTTTCTGACTTGCTCACCTTGTGTGTTGTCCATCTTTCCTACCAGAACGTGTGTGAGGTGGGCCAGTTATGTCTGCTCTGCCCACTCCTGGGTGTCCAGGTCCTTTAAGCGTGCCTGGTGTACAGTGGGCACTCAGCATATCCTCTGTGAACCCTTTGTCATGACAACCTAGGACATTTCTGTTATAAACAGGACTGACATTCTAGAATCCTGCAACTGGAAGAAGCCCCGACGAGGATGAGCCTCATTTCCTTCTCAGCGCAGAAATATCGGCGCACCCTGACCGCCCCAGTCCTGAAGCAAGCTCTGCCTCGGGACTCACGGTCAGAGGGGACACCACATTCTCTGTCATTGAACGAGTTCAGTCCAGGATTCCTGCCATCCTAGCTGCACACACACAACATTCGGGAAGGGTGGACTGTAGACGTATTTCCAAGGCACAAGGCGACAAGGATGGTGTTTCTGAGGACACAGATGACCGACGGTGCAGGGGCCACCTTCCCTGGCAATGAATCCCGACCTTCACTGATCCCTTTTAGATTTTATAAATAAATGCTAAGTCGGGAGATAGACTTGGTCTTATTTTCAACAAATCAGCTGGATTTACTTATTTATACCAATATGTACTTCCTCATGTAAAAAATCTGTTATATAAGTTTTGGAATAACCTGCCCTTGGTATATAAACTTAATTGCCTTCATTATAGATTACCAACTGTCCCTACATTTTGTGTTTTATAGTTTAAATCACTATACTACTTGAATTTATAGGAAACAAACGAGTTTCCTAAAGCCCCGAAGAAATACATTTATTTAGCATAATCCAAGAACTTCATGGATATAGTCCAAATTATAATTCCAAATTGAAAAGCATGCACTGAACTAAAATGACCAAAACCTACAGAAGTAACTTACTTTTATTATCTTGGGTCTCAGATATACTAACCATAGGTTCTAACCTCAGCTAGAAAATTAATCTTGGCATTATTGAATATCTTGAGTGCCACTAGGATTCTACAGTGTTTAGAGATGATATTCAGAGTTGCAAGTCAGGACACAGAGTCAGACGGGGGAACAGGCTGCCCACATCTGAACCCTTGAACAATTCTGCACGGTGCGCAGCCAGACCTTTCATGGTCTTCAAAGTTGGGCTACCAGCATTCTCCAAAAACATAGGAATTACAACCACTCTTTCATAGCATGTGCGTTGTTTGCACGCTCTCCCAGCACTGCGGGGGGGGGGTGAGGGAACAGAGAAAGAAACAGGCTCCTGAAGGAGGCACCTGGGGTGGAGGAAACAGTCCATGACTTCTTCCCCAAGACGGCCTCCCTGAATTAGCTCTGCACAGTCCTTGTGGGGTAGAAGCAATGACTTTTGAAAGGGCCATAGGAAAGTGTGGGCTCCATAGACCAGAGCCAGCGCGGGGGCCGGGGGAGGGGGCGAGGGGTGGGCAGCCGGCTTGGGAAGAACCTAATCCTTGAACTCCGTGCAACTGGGGAGGGAGGGGCCGGGAACATGGGGCCTCTGCAGCACCCAGCCAGCCTGCAGGCATTCCTGGATCCGAGGAAAACACTTTAATTAATATGTAAAACAGCAGTGGGAAGAAAAGCTAGGTTAATTTCCAAACCACATCACTACGGGCAGCATTCAGGTTATGAAACCCTGGGACACTGATAGGAGCTCTTGTTTAAAGGCACAGAGGTGCTTTTGTGTGGGAGCAGCTACCAAGGTGCTCAAAAGCCCTTTTATCTGCCCCCCACAGTGGTATTCCTCTTTCTGGGCTTAAAAACATTGCCTTTTGACTGGCAGGCTGTTGTTTTTAATTTGCAATGCACCCTCCCAGCCGTGAAACCACCCTGGGGGCTCCCGGGGGCCGGGCCGGCAGGCTGTTGTTTGGGACCAGCTAAAAGCAGCTGAAAGCAGTGTAGACAGGGGAGTTGCTGGCTGGCTTTCTGGTGCTTCCTTTGTTCCCGCTGCAGGCTATACCTCTGGAATGTGGGGAGCAGGCCCTCTTGCTGCTCAGGAAGCTGCCCTGTACTTGCCTGGGGTGAGACTGTGGCTCATTTCCTGGGCTGAGGTCTCGGACCCTGACCTGCGCAGACTGCGTCACATCCTCGCCGTGCCAGGACCGACCAGCCTCTGGCAGAGACCGGGGTCCTCCAAGGGGAGGCGTGTGAGGGAACAGGGCCGACGAGACTTCCCCAGATTGGACTCAAACGGTTTCGTTCAGGGCTTGCACCATTAACCCAGTTAAAGCTGCCTAAGGACTTGCCGACCTGTGACGGGGGTGCACGCACGTGCCTCCTAAATCCCACCTTCTCCAAGGCTCAGATAACTAGAGAAACGTCCGCCTCTGGTCCTTAGACACCTCGTAGGGGACCCAGGAGCTGGGAGTGATGCTGTATCCCTCCTACTCCTTGGGCGTCGTCCAATACGATGCCCAGACCTAGCCATTAAACATGCAAGCATCTCCAAAATCAGATAAAGACGTGTTCTTGGGTCACACACTTCCTTAAGAATTAGACTTCTCCCCAGGAGGGAAAGCATGTTTGCACACATATGCAGCGTTTGCAAGGATTTTCAGGGGTTTTTGCACACAGCTCGTCTGGCCCCGTTAAGGGGTCTCCTCTAGAATCTGTTGCTCACTGCCTCTGTTTGGAGTTCCACACACCCCTGCCCCATGCCTGGATTGTCTACAAACCCCCAGCGTCCAGCGCGGGCTCCTTCCCATCCATCATGCTGCCAGAGTTGTGTTTCTGCATTCCCAAGGGCGCCCCCACGCACTAGCTTGGCATCGTGTCCCCGGGGAGTTTGGGTCTTGCTCTGGGCAAGCCGAATGCTTTGGGTTTTCCGGAACCTGCACCCTCTTGCTTCTGCCAGGGTACCCGCTGGCTGTCTTCGTAAGGCCCTGCTCCTCCTCCTGCGGGATAGCTCATCCATGTCCTGGCACACTCACGATACTCTCACTCCCTCAGGGAACGCTCCTTGTTCCTTTGATGGGATCTTTACCTCCCGTATCTCGTATCTCTACCGGGAGCCCCCTGGGTTCACCTCCCTAAGCACAGCACGTGCGGCCCCGCTCAGCATGGTCCTGGCTGAGTGTCTCCTTCACTTGACTTTGAGCTTCTGCAATCACAGTTTCTGTCTCCTGTGTCCTCATGTCTCAAGCTCCCAGGGCAGTGCCAGCCCACGATTTCTGCCAGGAGAACTGTGACCTGCAAGGAGGTGATGACCCAGGGAGGGTGCCTGTTCTGAAGCTGAATTTCGGAGTACAATGTTCTAACTTACATTGGCTATGTGTCTGGGGGGGGGGGTGGTCTCCGGGGCCGGTGGAGCTAACGTGGGGTGGGAGCTACAGCCGCAGTCCCTCCCCTGACAACACCCCCGGGGAGTCGCTGTTCTCTCTGTGCGGAGAGGGCCACATTGCCTGGCGCTGCACACGTGTTGTGTTCATAGATGGATCCCTCTGGAGCCATGTGGTGGAGGGACCTGGATGGAAAGAGTGAAGAGCCCAGGAGTCACAGGTCAAGGGTTCCAGCTCCCCTCTGCCCCAACCACGAACTTCCCACTTTTCCAAGGATGTTGGCTCATGGGTTACCCCACATCACTGCTTTGTACTTACTCCTCCCCAGGTCCTAAGACAAGCCCTGCCCCAGGCTCTACACCATGTACCTGCCATCCATGCTCTATCCCACGGTGTACCCCTCGCTCCTCATCCCCAGGACAACTGCTTGTGGCATCTATGTGCTCACTTTCCAGCTTAGCTGGGTGATGGTCTCCACCTCTCTGCAGGAAGAGCTCACCAGGCCTCTTGACCGGCAGATCCAAAGGACCCTTGTAAGCCCACAACCTTTGACCTCGGGGGCAGTGTTTTAAGCCATTGGCCACACTCTGGTTCTTTGGGAAAGTTGACCACCTTGTGAGTGAGCAGGCCCCCTTCCTCCTCTGTTCCCTTTACTCTGATCTCGGGGCCCTTGACGCCCAACCTCTTTGGCACACTGAGGATGCATCTCATTTCCAGCCTTTCTGCAAAGACTTCAGTTTGTGCAATTTTCTCTTTGCTGGAGTATGGTGTCGTTTCCATGACAGGATTATCCAAGGGCCAGACCCATGCTTTCTGGTCCTGCCCACTTCCCTGGGGCCTGGGCGCTTTGCTGGCTGCTTTCTGTTCGTGTCGCTATGTCAGCGGCGGGTAGCGCACGCCCCACGCACCCAGGAGCCGCTCCACTGCGCTGCCCCCACCGTCAGAGATGGCCTCCATCTGTGAGGCTTCCGACGGCCTCTTTCCTGCAAGCGTCCAGGGGATGCCTTGCCTCCCTTACCAACAAACAAAACAAAACTAGACCCAACCTCAAAAGAACCCTTGTATGGAAAAACTTATCATTATAAAATCAGTACGTTCTCTTGCAATTTACAAAAAGACTAAGTTCATTTTTTTTTCGTGAAAATAACTCAAAACTATCTTGGTTTTGTTTTTCTTATTATAATCAACATCTAGGCAGAAAAAAAAAGAAGAATTCATTGGCTCACGAAACAAGAGACTCCATGGCTGGACCTAGAGCAGCAGTTTTCCAAGTGGACTGGCGCTGGACTCCCCTGGAGGGCTCATGAGGGCCCGGGGTTGAGTCCCGCCCAGAGTTTCTAAATCAGTGAGTCTGGCGTGGGTGTTGGTGTTCCAACCCAGTAAACCCGTGCCAGTCCCCACCTCTGTCTCCCTCAGAGCTCGTCATTCCTGCCTGCCACGTAAAATCTATGGAATAAAAGACAGTAAGATGCGAAGGGACATTTGCTTTGTCCAGGACTCCTGCCTCTACCGGTAAAGCTGGCTCATCACACACCTGCTAACAGGGCCCGGGGGTGATTGAGGAACCCCCTGTGGTTGGCCCTCACCCATCTCTCGCTCCTCCAGCCGCGACCGGACCCTTTCCGGCCTGCATGCGAGGCTGAGCTTCTCTGCTGGCAAAGGAGGCCTGTGTGAGAAACACTCATTCCGTTAGCGCCCGGCTGGTGTCTGCATCCCTTTGGCCAGAGATGCTGGGGGCACAAAGGCACTGGGGCTGCCACTAGGGTGCATTTTTGTGTGGCTCTCGCCGTTTCTTCCTTGCCGAAGCCTCTCCCTGCCTTCGGATATTCCTATTTGT